GAAAAAAACCCGCAAAAAAAACAAAAGAAGACATTTTGTGTGATTATCTTCCCTTAAATTACCCCCTCGGCATTACTGCGACTCTGCACTCAACTCCCCACTGAATTCTCCACGCGAAAGAAGAAGAGAGAGAGAGACTATATCTTCCGCAAAGCAATGCCCCGGGTCCCCCTTGGGCATGTCTTCTTAATTGTTAATGGGAGTTACGCCCATCTGGATCCTCGGGGAGAAAACGAGTTTCAAGACGCTCCGTAGCAAAAAAAAATGCCAATTGGCCAGTGAAATGAAGAAGAAGTTGACTCCAGTACCAGTAAAGAGTCGAGCAAATAATTAAACAAAAAAGGAGAAAAATTCATTATTCAAATCATTTGTGGCTAAATTATTCAAATCCCTCGGCTGAAATAACGAAATGAGAGTGGATAAAAAAAATGAGATGGGGCCAGTTAAGTGCAGGCAGGGGAGTCTAGTTGACGGACTTTAGACGACAGATAGAGAAGCCTCTCTCGTTATCTCAAGCCAGCACCGAGGCCTTTATTGCAACTCTCGTCATAACCGTTGGGTATTAACGGGTGTCATTAGACAGACAGCTCAAGTGGACTTGTCTTCCCCTCTCTCTCATCCGCCAGACATAATCATAAGCCTTCCCTCATTTTATTATTAATAAAAATGAGAATGAAAACACGGAGAAGACACTAAGTGCCAGTGTGTCATGAAGCTCAGGCAACGATTGGAGCTGTAATGCATAAAAGAATAACAAGTTATTTAATGATGTCTATGATTAGATAAAAATGATGCTGGTTACATTGTGATTATGATCGGTATTTCATTTTTTCATTCAGATCGATTATGGTGATGAGGTGGGTCTAGGAGCGAGGTGGCGCCACTTACTCATCAACGAGGAGCTCGATTCGGGCGCGCAGAGCAGGAGTTTATGGTGAGACGGAAGCACACCGGTCGTTGGTATCACGTGGATTGAAATTTCATTTGTTGCATTTTGATCGGTACGCGCATTTGCGGCTGCCGGGGTACTTGTTAATGTTTGGATGTTTTGACGACAGTTGCTTATGATGTAACTGGTCACCTAAATCCATGAAATTATTGATTTATAATAAATTATTTATTTATTATTGATCAGTGATTCAATTGCATATGAACATGATCGATTTTATTCCACCCCTAAATATTTAGAATAGTAGTGTCATTAAATTAAAAAAAAATATATTTTTTTTTAATCGTTATTTTACATCGCTTCGACCCGGTTAAGGTATACTGCGATGATGATCAAGACTTTAAATGGTTAGATCGCACCATTCTACCCGGCCGGGATTTGAACTCGGAATCTTTCGCATGTGAGCAACGAACTTACCCACTGCGCCAAGACACCGGGCATATAATAAAAAAAAAAAAAAAAATGCATAGACACTTATTGGATAGAAATAAATTGGATAACGAATATAGGGAAGGGTAAGGCAATATGGAAATTTGGGGTAAATAGACACTCAAAAAATTTGGGAAATTTTTTTTTTCAAAATTTAAATTTATGAAAATTGTTTCATTGAGCAATATGGATACATGGTAAATCCTTATAAAATGAACTAAAATGGACGCTTAAATAATTTTCAAATCATTTTCAATAATCGAAAATAATTAAAAAATTGCTTCTTGGCAATGCCCACAACCGAAAAATTATTTAAAAATGGGGTAAAATGGACACCCGAAAAAGTTGGTCCTATTCAACTTTTGATCAATAAAATTTTCAACATTTTCCAACAGAATCATGTCGGTACATTTTTATAGAGAGAAATTAGAGTTGGAAAAAACTTCAACTTTATTTAATTTTACATTGAAGTTTGAAATATGAGAGTAGCTTTGGATTTCCTGATTTACTATCGAAATAACTTTGAAATCAGTAGCGAAGTGGTAAAACGGTACAAGTCAAATTTGACTATTAGCCAGTTTTCAATGAATATCTGGAAATCTAAGGGAGATAGCAAAATTTTTATCATAACCTTTTTTGTTGATCCGTTTGAGAGCTACAACAAATGTAATGGCGAAAATTTCGCTATCTCCCTTAGATTCGGAAATATTCTTCAAAAACTCAACTGGGAGATAAGTCAACTTGAATCGTTTTACCACTTCGCGACTGAAATTATTAATTTTTTCAATGAACAATTACACGCCCTACGCAACTGAGCTTTTGGCCATTCGCGAAATTCGTGAGATGGCTACTTTTCTATTCACAGAGCAAATCACCATAAAACAATGGGGGGAGGGGAGGATAAATGAACAAAGAAAAATTTGGTTTAGCACCCCCCATGACAAAGGTAAAAAATGAGTTTTTTTTTTAATTTGAAAATCGTAGTGACAACTAGTGTTTCAGAAATTGAATAATATTGCTAAAACATCAAACATTGAGGAAGAAATCGAAGTGTCCATTTACCCCTTTTTTGCTTTACCTGACAACACTTACGATGCAGTCTTATGACAATGTGTTGTACGGGGCAAAATCGATCGGGTCCGCGATTTTCCCTAGTTATTCTTATATTCCGTCATATATCACAAACTGTTCAATGGGTCCAAGGCCCAGTGAAGACTTTTAAATTTCACCGACGTATCCCCTTAAAAATTCTAAATTTCATTGAATTTCAATGAAATTTTAAAAAATGCTAAATTTCATTGAATTTTTAATCAAATCTGAAATATCTTGATTTATCCTCTTCTAAAAACTGTCAGAGGACTGTCCATAAAATTTCAATTTTTCTCCAACAGCGTAAGCTCTCCTTGAACTAAATTTCCATCAAATAAAAACTGATGACATTTCAACTCCAGAGGCCGAAAATAATGATTCCCCCTTTAAAACTTGATTTCACAATTTTCTTACTGATGAAATAATGAAGAGAATCAACAGGGCAATTCCCAGCCAGAAGTACCAGGCCTCCCAAAAATGTTTCGGCGTATTCCGCTGTATCAAGAAGCAACACTGGGGCTCGCAACAGCAGTAGAGACAAATATTATTCGCTTGACACGACACAGGTTTTATCGTACCTGGTCCTTCACTCGTATTATTCCCCTTGGTATCGACACTGCATTCGTAAGCGAATCGCGCCATTCCCATGAGTTTGCATGCTATTCGGTATCCAAGTATTTTTTCTTCCTCTGGCACTTTGCCAACGCTCAACTTCCTCACTTCACCTTCAGTGCAAGATGCTCACTTTATCTTGGAACGTGAATCTTTATTATTTTACGGTTCGTTGGTTTCCACTCGTTGCCAATTAATCACTACCCCTTCCCAGCATCTAATTATTCATGTTCTCACTTATCGGGAGATCTATAGATCGAGGAAAATTTAATTACTAGGAGGGGTTTTAAAAATTTATTTCGGTTTAAGGATAGACAAGGACAGCCCTGCGATAAATTGATTATAAATGATTTTGCGATATTTTAATGTGTGAAATTTTTAAAATTCCGTTAAAATCTCAAATTTATTTAATTTTTCAAACCATAAGAAAAAACTTTAGGCAATTGATAAATTTTAATTAATTGGTAATTGTTATCATTATCATCAGTTGATCTATCTCCAGTGCAGTAAGAATTAAAATTCGTGACATTGCAAAAGCCCAAGAATAGCTTCTAGAGAATCAATTCAATAGCAGGGACCATTGCACTTGTCTATCCTTAATGCAATCCGCGGTCGATCAGATCGCGGTCAATACCGATTTTTTAACTATCATGTTTTAGAGGACGAGTAACTGATTATGAGGAAGCTGCTTGCAATTTAATTTTACCTGGGGCAAGTTGTTGCTGCCTTTGGCAGAGTAACTACTGGCACTGGCATGACGACCAGCTTTGAAAAATCGATTTGTGCCACACTCCTGGCTGGCATCTAATCACGCACGACAAAGTAACAATCGATATTGCTAGACCACGAGTGACCACTCGGTGCTGATACCAATAAAATATTCAGGTGGGCTAGTCTGGCATGAAGAATTCAGAGATGATGATAGCTCATAGCTTCAGCGGGCTATCAATTATTTTAGTTGAGGGTATAGGTAATTGTTGGGGTGAAAGTTTGTCGAGTTTCTTGAGTTGAAAGTCATTATTTGTCGCAAGATCTCTTATTTTTCCTGAGGCAAGTGGCGTTATTTTCGTTTAAGAGAGGAAAATCAGAGTTGTTAAAGTCTCCTAGATGATGGAAGTCTCTGGAAAAATTTTCATTGCCTGAATATCTAGGCATTTGAAAATAAAAAAACTATCAACTTCAACACAAAAATGAAACCCTCAAATCTAAATGCAAAACACTTTTTATTGAAAAGATACATTCACCTCAGACGTGTTATAAGTAGATTTCATTCAATCTATCAAGAAACAATTAGTACAAAGGGGGTTAAAGGGGTGAAGCGAGGTGGGTCGAATTAAGTCAAGATGACTTGAGGGAAGACCGAGGTGAAATTTACAAGTCTTCACTCGGCCTTAAGAACCGTTGGACGACTTTTGGTATATGAGGGGATATATTAAAAAATAGAATGAATCGCGGACCCGATCGCTTTTGCCCGTATATCCACCGAAAACGTCATTGTCCACGTTTTTACCTTAAAAATTTTCCTTGCACCAGTTTTCATAAGATTTCAACTTTTTTTTTTAATGTTCGTTTTACTCTAATGAACAAAGCCAAGTATGCATTTTACTGTATATGGAATGGGACATGAGTAAATGTTTTCGTCGTTTTTGATTTTTTTTCGTTACTATATTGAATCCTAAAATTCGTTGTTTTTCCGAACCTTAAAAATCGTATTATCACTTTTTTGGTCTTGAAATTCCAATTACGCATGATTACAACGTTCAATAACAAAAAACAACAATTTTTAAATGTTACATAATGAAATATAAAATTCAACAATTTTAAATTTTACCGCGATCTCCCCTTAATTCGACCCATCTCGTTTCATCCCTTGTCCGCAGCTTCGCTATCGCAGCTTCGATATTCAAAAAATGCAGCCAATTTTATGAAGATTTTTTCACACATTATTGGATCCATTTAGAGACCGTTTGCAAAATTTGAGAAACCCCAGTAGCTAGGGACCAACAAAAATGATGTTTAAAGTTGCTGCTTATATATGAGGTTAAATGGGTCATCGATAATTTCAGTATTTTTTTCACATTGCCGACTGGTCGATAATGTAGAGGAAATGCACGAGTTATCGATGCTCCCTTTAACCTCATGTATAAGCATAAGCAGCAACTTTAAAAATCATTTTGTTGTTGTCCTGCTTCTGGGGTGTATGACGGCTCAAAATTTTAATTTTCATTATAAAAATTACTGAAAAAAAATTAAAATAATCGACCGTGACGTAATTGGCAAAATTCAAGTTTTTCAACTTTTTTTCTCGAAAATTCGTTATTTCAAGCATCTAAAGATTGGAAATTTTTTTTAAAAAAACATTCTTATAGGTGGTGAAAAATGAAAAATTTTGCCCCCTAATAAATCGAAATCGGATGAGTAGAACTCGAATTATTGTAAAAAAACGGAACAATTTGAAAAAAATCATATTTCCGAACTGGGCTGTCAAAAAAATTTGAACAAATTTGAGATATAGTTTTTCAAACCCCCTAATCGTAGAAAAAATCGCCATCAATTTTCAAGAGGGTGAGGGTTAGCCGTTGACTCATTTGGCATGGAATACCTCGTATGCATTCAACTTATTAATCATAGACGGAGGGATGAGCATGGAGTGGTCAAATCAAATTAACCGCAAGAATAAAAAACTTGCGATCATAAATCCAAAACATTTTTTATTGAAAAGATACATTGACCTCCCACAAGTCATTACTAAATTACATTCAGGCAATTTCTAAAAAACATTTCAATCATTTTTAATTGGTAGAATAAGATCACTCAACTCAACCCATCTCCTTTCACCCCTTGCCAACAGCTTCAGTACCCCCCATTGTCATGTGGTGGTGGAGGTGGTGGCGGTGGTCCCCGTGGGAACGGCGGTCTGAATTGCGGGGGAGGAGGGGGTGGTGCCCCCCCTCCACCCTGGGACACAGGTGGCATCGGGTGCCTCCATGTGGGCGGAGGTCTAGGGGGCGGTGGAGCCGGCTGATATCCCCCGAACTGTCCTGGTGGACCCGAGGGAGGTGGAGGTGGTGGAAACTGTCCAGGAGGTGGCCAGTGAGCTCCTGGAGGTGCCATCATTCGATGACCTTGAGTCGGCGACGGTGGAATAGGCATTGGGGGGAGGGGGGGTGGCATGCCAGGTGGCAGGGGTGGATGGGACATGGACATGGGGGGAAGGGGCGGTGGAGGAATGTTCGAAGGATTGAAACCAGAGGGGGGAGGAGGAACAGGTGGTGGAGGGGGGTGACCCATGGGCATGGGAGTGGCAGGGGGTCGGGGTGGAGGCACCACCATCCCGTGATGCATCATCTGGTGGGGTGGGTGGTGGTGCTGAGGCTGGGGAAGACCTTGAGCTGGCATGCTCATGGGGGGAGCGTCGGCGAAGAGCTGGTGAGGCCTGTCTGCCTGGCTCAGGGGATTCTGAGCTGCCAGGAGACGCTCAGCTGCACTACCGTGACGCTCACCCTTGGCGTCACGTTTGAAAGCGTAAGAGACTGATATTGGACGGTTACAGAGATACTGGCCGTTCATTGCTTCTATGGAGGCGTCCGATGCGTCGAATGACGCGAAGTTTATGAAGGCGAAACCCTTGGAGTTACCAGTCTCTGGGTCTCTCATTATCTAAGAAAGGAGAATGGGTAAGTGTTTCTTCGTATGTTGACCACGATGATAAGCTGAAAGAGGGATACAGTAGAGTTCCCTTTATTTTCCGGGCTCGGGACGTGTCCTTAAGTGAATTTCGTGTAAAATCCGAATAATGGAATTTCTCCCACTCCGCCACAGTGGGTCGCATTGGAGAGGAAATGTGGATACACGGAGAAAAAAATACATCGTAATTTTGTGAGAATCCTTCCAAAAATTAGTGTGCTGTTCACCAACGCTGGGACATAACAGGGAGTCATCGGAGAATTCGCATGTGGCACACTAATTTTTACGGGAATCCCCCGAAAAAGTGGCCGGAGTCCCACCAAAAATTAGGGTGCCACTTATGAATTTTTCGACGACCCCATGTTATGTCCCGGCGTTGGGGGACAGCACACTAATTTGTGGGAGATTTTTTTCTCAGTGTATAGGTAGAATCGTGGTAGTGATAATTGCCTTCTGCCACTCAAAAGTGGAGAATCGAATTTTTTTAATCGAAAAATCAGTTTAACAAAAATTTCCAATGTATTTTTGAATATAATCTGAAATTTTCGCTCCTTAATTTTATTTTATTTTATCGTTATTTTTTCGTTGATCAAAATTGTATTAATATTGAAGAAAAAATTTTTTTGCCCAAGTATTATGTATAAACTTCATTTATGATTACTAACTCGATGTTTAATGGTCCCCATGCATCTACCTAGTCTTTTTTATTCTATAGTTGAGAGGGCTCCTCTCAGGAATCCGAATAGGTGCGTTTTTCCGTACTGTTTCGATTCTTTTGCCATTCTTTTGTAGAAATTCACTCATTCATACTTATAACTTATTTTTAAAAATATAATCGATCCATTGAAAATAACGACTTTTTTCAGGTTGATCAATGGACTTCAAAATGTTTCTTTTCTCGCATTATTCATAATTAAGGAGCGAAAATTTGTGACTATATGTGCACTTCCACATGAAAAGGAACCACTTTGTCGATTCTAGTTTCCGAGATGTTTTGCCTCAGCAACTCCCATTTATACCAATGTTAAATTGTTAAATAAATCTTCTCCACCGACGTCATTCTTGATCCTATGAGGATCATTTTGGGCTTACAATATGCGGAATGTTATCAATATTATTACAGTACACATAACTCCATATCGACAAAGTCGTCCCTTTTCATGCGGATGTTTACATATTTAAAAAACCTATTTTGAAAAAAAAATACATTGGGAATTTTTCAAAAGGTGATTTTTCGATTAGAAATAATTCGAATCTTCAATTTTTAACGGTCGGAGACGAATGTCACCCACAAAATCAAATTTCTGAGGAAAAATCACGCGGAAAATGGTGTTTTCTCATCAAGTTTTCTCGTTAAGTTTTTTTTCCGAGGTGAACCTTTCCTTAAGGATATCCAAGTATCGTTTACAGTTTGTTATAGACCCCACTATAAATTCAACCATTTTCAATAATCAAATTTGGCAATTAAATTGCGTGAGTAAAATTTGAAAAAAATCATGAATATTCAGCGCCATTTACGTTACATTTTGCACAGAATCATTATTTTTTTAAACATTCGTTGTTTATAAATAAATAATTGAAATTGTTTAAACTCTCGGAAACCTAATTTTTTTAGACATGAAATAGATTTCTAGTAAAATTCTGAATATGAATAAATTTGTTACGATTCCTCACGAATGACTTTTATAGTGGAAAATTGATTATTTATAAATTAATTCTAAAAAATGTTAGTAATTTTCAAAAACTGCAATTTCTTAGTTATTTCATCAAGATTTCTCCAAAAATACACTTTCTAATTGCTTTTCAGATTTTTAAAATGTTTTCAAATGGTTCAATATCGAGACTCTATTTCAGACCTGCAAAGTTTAAATAATAAAATCGTTGTAAAAAGTCCGGTAACTTATGGTAAAATGGGGCTCAAATAAAAGGTCTGATGTTCGACTACAAAAGTAGAAAAGCATTTCACTGGAGAAAAAATAGCTAAAGTACTTGGATATCCTTAATGCATTGAACTATTTCTATTAACCATCTTTCATAAACTCCTTGCAGTCGAAATATAGTCATAAAAATGCCGAAAAACTGAAAGTTTACACTAGACCTATGCAAATTTTGTCACGAGATAACCCAAAAATTTCCATAATGAGCATTTAAAAAAAACATTGTAAATTATTGCGAAAATGTAAAAAAATCCCTTGAAAAAAACTACCCCTGATTTCCTGGATTTACAAAGCTTGGAGACGAAGGTTTATTGATTTTAAGTGAATTATTTTACCTTTGGCGTTTGAAGGATGACTCCAAAAGCACTGAATGTATCGTATAGGAGCTTCTCGTCCACCTCAGGATCCAGATTACCAATGAAAATATTAGCACCGACATCCAGATTCTTCTGGTGGGCACTGGCCTTATTCACTCTTATGGGTTTTCCATAGAGTTTGATCATGTTCATGATTTTTATGGCGTAGTCAGCGTCCTCTTCACCCATGAATTCCACAAACCCATAGCCCTGGTGCATCTGGGTTACTCGGTCTTTGGGCATGTGAACATTTACTGAAATAAAAATGAAAATATACATGAACATGAACAGTATAAAAATATAAAATATAAATAAAAAGTTTCTTTTGATATTAAAAATATTTTAACAAATTTCTTACCCACTGGTCCTGACTGAACGAACAGTTCCCACATGAGGGACTCAGTGACTTTATCGTCGAGTCCTCCAACGTAAATAGTTGCATCTAGAAGAAAATGAAATATTATTGTCTTCCAGAAAAGTCGTTTTAATAACTGATTACTTGAAATGTTATGAAAAATTATAAAAATGCATGCAGTGATGACTTTGTATTCTTTCTATTCTAGATTGGGAAAAAACCTACAGAGTTCTCAAACAAGTGCTACTTGTGCTAAAAAAATAGTTTTTTTATTCTTAAAAAAGGATTTTCTTTCCAAACATGCAATGAGTGTCGAGATGGAAAATTTGTTGCTAAAATAGCTTTAGTAGCTCCAAAAAATTGTATTTCTTGTGAAACCAAAAATGTCATTTCTAGCCAGGGATAGCCACATCCATAAATTATAATTACCGTTAAATTATAGTGGTTAATTCATTAATATCACTCAGAAATTTTAATTATTGAAGTAATCATCAATTTAAATATTCAAATTCCCAATTATTTATTAGTCAGTAATTTAGTTAGTAAGATTGACGATTATTTGGATAATCGAAAATCCCTTATAAGAAATTTAGTATTATTTACTAGATGGAAAATTTACAGTTCCATATTATTAAATATTGAATTCATCATCAATTGGAAATTTAGAATAGCAATTATTTTTCAATTTTCAAATTTCGATTGGTATATTTAAACCTTAATCAATGTACGTCTGAAATTCTTTTAATATTGGAGAATCGGAAGATTGATCCCACGCCTGTTTTTAGTACTACTTCGTCGTTATTCGATACTCCCAGCCGTATTTTACTTCTGGAAAATGTTCATTTTATACGAAACAAGGCATAGTAGTTTGTGGTTTTGACTATGTAATAATCACAGACAAGAAATAAATCCTCAATATTTATGTCGTTGTTTATTTCCATGTTATCAAACTGATTCAGGATGTGGATCATGGGATGGTTGGAAAATTAGTAAACCATACACTGAGAGAAAAAGAAACAAGTTCTCAAACAAGTCTTGTTTGGGTCAATGAAATATGACGCTGAAGTTAGCAGCCGACTTGGCAGCAGAACAGGGGCGTATCATGATCCCCTGGGGCCCAGTGCACACATGATTCAAAAACCGGGGTAAAAATCAATTATCGACATCGAAAAATGTTCAGACATTACCCCTCTGCATTCATGAAGATTCTTACCCCTCTGGAACCATTACTTGTTGATGTTTGAGGGGTGCAAAAATTGATTTTCCTTGAAGTGAAAGAAAAAAAAATTGTTGGCTCCAAAACACTCAAAACCACCAACAAATTTCCATTGAAAGATATTAGGAAAGACTCCCTCAACCTCCAGAAAAATAATCAAGTCTTTCAGAGTGGTCCAAGGAAGTGCTAGGAGGTGAAAAAATGGAATTTTCGCGTATTTCAGGGGGAAAAAAAATCTCCAACTAATAATAAGCAAAACCACCAACAACTGTTGATGGAAAAATACTCAGTGCAACTCCCCCTACCCCCAGAAAAAT